CCCCAAAACCCCAAAACCCCAAAACCCCAAAACCCCTTTTAGAGATATTCTATTGAAGTTGGACTAATCCTTTTCTAGACAGATTAATGGTATAATGTCTATCATAAATTAGGGAATACAATTAAGAATAGGTTCATGAAACCCATGAACATACACTCTTTCTAACTCACTGATGCAGTGAGGTGGTTTAGTGTGCCTAGCTTTATCAGCCACTTCAAACTGGAGAGGCTGGCCTGTTCCAGCACTGATTTTAGACCCTGTTCTGCCTTTGAGGGCTCTTCTGGATCTTCTTGCAGTCCAGTTCCTTTTCTTTGTAATTCTTCTTAGTACTTTTTCTAATTCAACTTTTATGGATGATCTGGATGTTCATTTCGAGCCAATATTTCTTGTAAAATAAGACGATGTGTTCCTAAATGGCCTGGCAGTGCTCATGCTAAGGGCTGTGCTGTTGAAATCCTTGCAAGTTTTCTTAGCAATAGACAACGCGCTCAAGTTTGATTTTGAAATCAGTCTGCTTGGAGCTAAGTTTTGCATCCTAATTCTGAGCAGGTTTTACTTACTTATGAACTTTGGCAAATAATCTCTTGTTCTTCATAGTTGATATTATCCTCTTCTTAGCAGAGCTATGGTTGCGGGACTTTTCAAGCTGGGGTTTAGGCAAGGCCTCAGGCTCAAGTTTATGAGTGGAGAGGTGGAATTCCTTATCCTCATTCATCTCATCGCCATCGGCCAACTTTACCATGGGTGACTCGATTATGTTAAGCTTTGAAAAGTTGCTAAAGACCATTAGACATTCCCACAGGTACTATTTGGTATGCCTTCGGGATTCTTGATGCTGTGGGTTATTTTAAGTCCTTCTGGCCTGCCTCATGAAGAGATTTGCATGAATTATTCTTCTTCGAGGGTCGGAGTCTTGCCACAGAAGATTCTAAAGAATTATGTTTAGAATTACTTTTCTTATTGACTTTGTTCGTGATTATAATTTTTAAGTGTTGCGAGAACTTCCTTGAATTCGGAGTACTTTTTAAGCGAGACATTAGGCCTGAGTCTATGGGGTCATGAGAAGCTTACTGTCTGGTAAGGAATCTGCATGTACAGATGATTGATATGAGCCGTTTAAGGAATCATCAGGGATTTTCTCCCTACTTTGGAATCCACTCTTTTTGGGGCCAGATAATGATTTAGGAGAGATTGGTGTAGACACTGACTCTATTTGCTCATTGATCTTGAAGAGGGAACCTTTACGTTCACTCTTGAGCTTGTTCATTCCTAAGGATCAGTTTTGAGGTACCTTTTCTGAGAGCAATGATCTTCTCAAAAATTCCCTTTTTGATGATCTTAGTGACCTTTTCTTTAAGTTTACTATCATTCATAATTTTTGCTCCAAGGCTGCCGATAGATTTCTTCGACTCGGAGGCTGAACTTTTCTTAATTGTGAATCTGAACTTGTCTATAAGTCATTATCATCCATTTACTAGGTTTCTCTTTAAGAAATTTGGTGTAAATCATTCTGGAGCGCCTAATAGTTTTGCTGATTTTGCTGAGATCAGAATTCCGGATCTTCTTCATCACCTTTATTGAAACTCACCAATGTCTTCATTAAGGATGAAGTCTGATATCTTATTTCCAAATCTTTGTAGCTCTGTATCTAGCGACTAGGTTGGCGTTTGAGGAGTCAAAGTTAGGTGGAAATAGTCCAAATGAATTCTCTTCGTCGAATTTCATATAATAATGAGGCATTCTATGGAGATTATGAAAGTTTTACTTCACACTTTTGATAAATTCAAACTCATTCTTCTTGTTTAATGACTGGTAGAAACCTTTCTCTTTCGGAGTTTGATGTGTGGTCGCCTTGAAGTGTACAGTTGGCTTCGGCCCAGATCTCCTGGAAGATAAGAATCAAGCTTACTTAGTTTTCTTCCTAAATAGCCTGGTATTTGATCCTGAGTTTGCAGGTGAGGTTCTTTGACTATTCTTGTTGGAATTGAAACTACTTTTTGAGTTCAGTAGTCCTCGAATTTTATTAAATTTTCTGAAAGAAAAGACTGAAGAATCCTTATTCTTATTTTAACTTTGATGTCTTTTGTTCCGTCACCTATTTTCGATTTGATTCGTTAGTTATAAATTTAAAGTTTTTGAGATTTTTGAGAATTTGAGAATCCGAAAAAAATAAAATAGAATATTAATTTTAGAGAAAATACTTACTTTCTCAGCTCGATGCATTCGATTATGGAGAGAATGGCTCTTTTGTTGCCTAAATGGTGAGACTATGAGAAACTAACTTTACTAAAACCTATTCAAAATGCGAATCCTTTCTTTGCAAAATATTTCAAAATCACTCAACCTTTTAAGAATAAAATAAAATCTTAGCCTTATTATTCTACTCTCCATCCAAATCCTCCATCTCAAAATTCGCCTTCTAAATACCTCTCAAAAATCTATGACCACAAAAAGCTAACAGAATCCTATTCCAAGCCCAAATTCACTCTCTAAACATCCTAATTCATCCTTTAAACCTTACTTTGTATACATTTTCTAAATTAATAATTATCTTATTATAGGGGTTTTGGGGTTTTGGGGTTTTGGGGTTTTGGGG